GCAAAGCTGGCAGCCGAGACGCCTTGCTCTAAGGGTTTAGGGTTTGGGGGTTTAGGGCTTTAGGGCTTAAGGGTTTAAGGGTTTAAGGGCTCAAGGGTTTAAGGATTTAAGGCCAGGATTTTTGGGGTCACCTGGGTGCGGACTCCTCAAGGAATGCGGGCCCAAATGGCTAGGACTTATTCTAGAAGCCTAGATCATTACCAATATTCTTAGATGCTTTAGGGCCTTAGGGTTCCTCATAATAACCTTACTATCATAAATATCATATATACCAAACCAATTACTAAGCCCCCCCCCCCCATAAAAGAGAGTTCACGGGTACCTCGTTCCTTATTATAACCTTACTATAAATAATAGTAAATACAAACCAAACCAATCATTAAGGCCCCCCCCTCTTAGAGATTTCACGGGTTCCTGTTTATAACCTTACTATAAATAACAAAAAAATATATATATATATTATTAAGACCCCAAAAAAAAAATTACGGGCACCTCAAGACGCTCCGAGGTGTTCCAGAGATGCTCCACCGTGGCAGCCAAGAGCTCGTTGCTGGGGCCGGGAAGGGGGCAATCCTGCTCAAGCGGGGTTCTTTGTTAGGGTTTAGGGTTTAGGGCTTAGGGTTTAGACAATAAGGAAATCCTGCTATTTACCTAAACCCTGAACCCTAAACCCTAAACCCCAAAATAGATCCCTATGATGGGAACTTAGAAATAAAAATCCCCTAACAAGAACCCAGCAAGGCTTCGGGGCTCGGAGTTTACTGGGGCGGCCTTCAGAATTAGAATAGGAGCCTGTGGGCTCCTTATTACTAGAGTTCTAAGAAGAAGGGATTAGGGTTTAGGGTTTAGGGTTTGGGGTTTAGGGGTTTAGGGGTTTAGGGTTTAGGGCTTAGGGTTTAGGATTTAGGGTTCTGGAAGGAGCCTGAAGGAAGCATATAATATTTAATATTGGTAATTATTGAGGCTTCTTTTCTTAGGGGTTCAGGGTTGGGCTGGGGACTGTGAGGCTTCACGGCTTTGGAGTTTGGAGTTTGAGGGAGGAGTGTTAAGGCGTAGAACGCTTGAAGGCCTTGAAAGGATCTCTCTGGCACAAGTTTCGGGCTTCAAGTTTTGGTTTTGTGGGTCTTACATGCCATCCACGAGCCCTCAATAAATCAGAGATTCCACCATGTCTTTATTGTCTACGAGACACATTTTCGGATGAAGGGCCATTGGATAATCCGGGACTTGCAGGCTTGGGCAAGTCAGGGTTCAAGGTTTGGTGTTTTGGGCTTTCTCGGATCTCCGGTCTCCTGCAGACTATGACACTGCGGCGTCGCATCGAAGGAGAAAGCGAGCAAAGCAGAAGGCAGCGGTGGCGGCGCAGTGCCGGGGAGGCGCCAGCTGAGCATTGCGCGGAGGGCCTCGTCGGGATCTACAGCGGCTGAGGGTTTAGGGTTCAGGGTTTAGGATTTAGTGCTTTGGGCTTGGGTTGGGGGTTCAGACCGTTCCACAAGTTGTGATGAGGGTCTGGCATTCAAGAGGTCAGCTCTACTCAGTCTACTCCTCCTTCAAGGTTTGGGGTGACTGGAGCTCCAGAATCCCCGAAAGACATGCTGTAGGCAACATGGAACTACAAAAGCCCTTTAAAGCACCTTTCTAAACCCCTTGACCCTTGAAGTATTTTTTCGCCTGGCTCCAGATGTTCACGCAGGCCTGCTAAGACTCTTCAACTGATCCTGCACAGCACGACTGTTACCGCCAAGAATCGGATCACCCCAGGTCACAACCGATCCATCACCAAGAATGGCAGCAAAAGCGCCGCCAAGTGCTTGGATTTGCTGCACACCCTTCAGCTGACCCTGCACAGCACTGCTGTCGCCACCTCGGTCAGCATCACCCCAGGTCACAACCGATCCGTCACCAAGAGTGGCCGCAAAAGCGCCGCCACGGGCTTGGATCTGCTGCACATTCTTCAACTGATCCTGGACTGCACCAGTGTCGCCACCAGAGTCAAGACCCCAGGTCACAACAGCTCCGTTACCGAGAATGGCAGCAAAGGCACTGCCACGGGCTTGGATCTGCTGAACATTCTTCAGCTGCCCCTGCAAAGAACTACAGTCGCCACCATCACCCCAAGTCACCACAGATCCATCGCCAAGAATGGCAGCAAAAGCACAATGAGAGGCTTGGATCTGCTGTACATTCTTCAGCCGATCCTGCACAGCACTACTGTCTCCGCCACGCATCGGATGACCCCAGGTCACAACCGATCCATCGCCAAGAATGGCCGCAAAGGCGCGGGCAGACGCTTGGATCTGCTGCACATTCTTCAGCCGACCCTGCACAGCGCTGCTGTCGCCACCATAGCGAGCCGGACCCCAGCTTACAACGGATCCGTCACGAAGTATGGCAGCAAAGGCGCCGTCAGAGGCTTGGATCTGCTGCGCAGTCTTCAGCTGACCCTGCACAGAACTACAGTCGCCACCTCGGTCAGCATCACCCCAGGTCACCACGGATCCGTCACCAAGAATAGCAGCAAAAGCGTCGCTAGTGGCCTGAATCTGCTGCACATTCTTCAGCTGAGCCTGCACCGCACTGCTGTCACCACCACAGGCAGAGCCCCAGGTCACAACTGACCCGCAGCCAAGAATGGCAGCAAAAGCGCCGCCAACAGCTTGGATCTTCTGCACATTCTTCAGCTGACCCTGCACAGCACTGCTGTCGCCGCCTGAGAATGCATGACCCCAGGTCACGACCGATCCATCGCCAAGAATGGCCGCAAAAGCACTGGCAGAGGCCTGGATCTGCTGCACATTCTTCAGCCGACCCTGCACAGCGCTGCTGTCGCCACCACAGGCAGCAGGACCCCAGGTAGCAACGGATCCGTCACCAAGAATGGCAGCAAAAGCGCCAGAAGTGGCTTGAATCTGGACTCTGCTTATGTGAAAGGTCAGTGTATCTCCGTTCTGAACCCTGACAGCACTGATCCGCATACCGGCATCCAGAACGCTTCCAGACGAGTCCAGCAGCCGCCCTCTCCCGACTCCGAGGGCGATCTGCGCCCGTTGCGTCAACGTCTTCACAGTTTCGTTCTGGCCGGCTTGAACAATAGCTGTCTTGCCACTGAGCAGTGAAACTTCCACTGTAATGGACATGCTCCACACACGAAATGGCCTGTTTTTGCTCGCTCAAGCCTTCGGGATCTAAGATTTACCTTTCTGGGATCGAGGGATCAGGCTCGGGCCGCGGATTCCGATCCACAAATAGACGGACGCCCGCTTTAGGTAATGCAGGAAAGTATGGAGGATCTGAGTGCTTAACATCAACTGACAAACCTCACACCCCTCCACACTAAACCCTAAAGCCATCCAGACGCAGAAGTCCCGAACCCACCACACCGACTAAGGCTGGAGCCGAAACAGTTGTCTTCGTGGGGCGATCGACTCCCTCTCCCTCTCTCTCTCCTTTCTCTCCTCCTTCTCTGCCACAAACCCAGGGTTACTGCAGGACAGTGACCCCAAGAATCTCATCCTCCAGGGAGTGCCTCATTACAGAAACACCCATCCCTCCCTTCGCACAAGGAGTCTGAAGCCTCTGGGTACGACCCTTCAGGGTTTGGGACAAACCATACGGTAGAACACAGGGAGAGTAGATGCAAAGCCAGGAATCCTAAATGCCAATCTGGCAATCCGAGGTCTACTCCCTACCTGGCTGGTCTATTCGCGTACATGCTTTTGAAACCCAGGTCCATAGCGTACTGGGAGGGTACCGATTCTGGAGGATATACGTCGCCATGACTAAACACCTAACTGACTTAGAGCCCCACTTTGGTGTGCCCCCCTCGCAAATTCTAGCTGATGACCTACGTCTTTGCGTTTTGGGGGGGTTAGCCTTCGGGTTCAGGGCCGGATGTCGGACTGAGGAGCTTCGGGTTTAGGACTGAGCTGGTTCTGGGCTGATCCGGGCACATTCCGAGTCCAGGAAGAAAGGTGTTTGGGGTGTAGGGTTTAGGGTTTAGGGTTTAGGGTTTAGGGGTTAGGGTTTAGGGGTTAGGGTTTAGGGTTTAGGGTTTAGGGTACGAACAAAGGGGCCTGCCACGCATCGCTGTCCAAATCCTCGTCGCGGAGGCCCCGGGTAGCGAGGGACGCCAACATGGACCGCACGGTGGAGCCAGCGTTCAGCGCGGTTTGGCCTCACTGGCTCTTCCGAACGGAGGTTCAAGGTGCAGGGTTTTGGGCCCAGTTTTAGGGTTTAGGGTTTAGGGTTCAGGGTTTAGGGGTCTAGGCTTAAGGGGGTTAGGCTGCATGAAAGGCAGGGAATCCAAATTCCCAGCCACCTCTTCCAGAAGAGGGGAGGAGAGACAATGGGGAGAGGGAATCCTAAACCGTCAAGTGCCAGCACATCTGTGACGTCGTCGCGTTTAACGGAAACTCTACCGGCTCCTGCAAGGGGCCCTTTTCATTTTGGGAGGGCCAGGGGACTTAACTTAGTAATCACTTTTTCAATATGGTCATACGTAGGATTCGGATCCCCTCCAGAGTACCTCAAACTCTTCTCTACGGCCTGCTTCCCAAGCCCCTAAACCCCTAAACCCCAAACCACAAACCCTCTCCCAACCCTCCAAGTAACCTCCGCCCGAAAAAGAAGACTTTCAACCCTTACCTCGACCCCAAAGAACCTACCCTTTTCAGGGTTCGCCATGATGGTTTCCTTACATAAGTCCGTAAAGGAGTAGGTTATTTAGGGTAAAGGTAAAGCCCCAAACAAAAAATCTCATGGAACCCCAGGATCCAAGATCCTGAAGAGATGGGACCCTGAATGTCGGCCCTGATATAAAAAGGGTCCTGCTTTCCTTCTGTCTCCTAGGGCTTCAGACGGCTTTTCTGGGGTGCTGACACAGGTCTGATCATGCTTACGAGACTTCAGGATACTTATAACTCCTTTAAGGGAAGATTCAGGCTTGTCGGTGTCGGTGTTCGGACGGCTCAGGTCCTGAACCTCGGCCTAGGATGCTGCACAAAACTCGGGAAGACTGAAATCCTATCTCCGGAACCCAGAGCATCCCAGAGCCCCTGAAGCCTGAACCCTTTTAGGGTTTAGGGTTTAGGGTTTGGGGCTTAGGTTCTGAATCCTAATACCTTCAACCCAAATCACAGGCCCACGAGCCCGTGTGCTCTCTCGGGTCATCTGATTTTGGGCGTGTTTCCGGCATCCACATTGCAGCGATGTTGGGGTTCGTGCGCCTATATAGTGGTTACGATTTCTTTTGTTAGGTTTGGTACAAAACATTCGTTTAGCATGGGAGAATGAGCAGGAGGTTCAGCTTGTGGCCGCGACATTGAAGAGGAGATTTGACGGTATGGCAAATACCACGTGTTTAGATACACTTACAAAGGCACGCTGTCCTCAAGGATCATCAACCAGCCGAAAGAGACATACCCAACCCCAGAAAAGGTGCTTTTAAAGGCCCAGCCGCCGGAGTTTGCTATCTTGAACAAAGGCAGACCACCCGTGGCACCCGTGGCGTCCGGAGAGTAGTTCACTTGGCCTCCCTTCCAAGTGGGCTGAATGCTTTCCATGCGCTGGGAGAAGGATTTTCGAGCCGGAAGTCGGAGCCAGCGCCCGGACGTGGGGGAGAACCCGGCAAAGAGCATAATCTGGGCCGCCACAGCGTTCCTGGGCACTGTCTGGATGTACTACTTAGGGGTAGTCTCCGTAAGTCGAGAGGTTTCTATAAGGCTGCTGTAGGGGTTTCAGGGCTTCATAGGTCTATGAGAGTATATGAGTGATTCTAGTGTAATTGCCTTGCATAAAGCCGGAACTTCTTCAATCGATCTCATTTGAGAGTGATGATACGTCAAATCCTCCGCGGCTTTTCTCAAACCGAGTAAATCTGCGCGTAAGGTCAGCCAGCAGGGTTTAGGGTTTAGGGCTTAGGGCTTAGGGTTTAGGGTTTAGGGTTTCTAGGAATCCAGAGTTTCAAACTTCGGAGCTCAGGATGGTAACATCATAGTCAGGACCTGTGACCCCCCAACCGAACCCCTAAAACCTCGGTTTCAAGACTTTGAGGCAGCATGCAGCATACCCTGTAGAGAATACTAAAATATGTACATTCAGACATTTCAAGTCCGCGTATCTTAGTACACATGTATGTGTATGAAAGTGTGTATAATATATATATATATATATACAGATAGACATGGATCGGTGTATACATATATATATATATA